TTATTTGCTTCCCAGCATTTCTGCCATTAAATAAACAGACAAGAGCTGAAAAGCAGAGATAAAGCAGCTCAGAAGTAACCGTCACTATTTCTTAGCTGGAATGAAATGTGTGCAGCCTTTAACCAATTTCTGCAACTTGTAAAGTTGAATAATCTGGAAACAAAAGGACCTTTTAAAGGTATTCTAAAGTTGCAGTCTAAAACCTACGCGTCTTAGCTAAAAATTAATGTCAATTTTATCTGATGCTTTTGTCTAAGTATTGTTCTTAATGTTTTATAAAACGTTTTCGAAAAAATAGTAGTGGTTGTGGTGTTTCTACAAAATAAGAAACGCAATTAAAATGACGTGAATAAATTTGTTCACTCCATGATTCATTAAAAACAAGCGGCGCCATCATCCTCCAACCACTTCCTGTTGTCTTCTTCGTCTTTTCCGGCAGCAGTAGCATCTTCTTGTTGACGACATGATTCATGTGACGCGAAAACAAAGTGTTTCCATTGTAGTTTAAATAAATATATTAATTTTGATAAAAGCCATAAAAACCACCTCAGTCTAGCAGAAAAACTTTTAATCTAAAAACATGTTTTGTTTTGTTTTTCTCTAAATTGCCGTGTTTCAAATTCTGTGTTTTATGGTTAACGGAAACACCAGCTAGTGTTGCTATAATGTTTGTTATTTACTGTAAGGTCGGCTGGTTGATCTTCCTTCCCTCTCCACCAGGTTCTTATTGTAAGTAAGAATTTGTTCTTAATAACTCAAATAGTAGTTAATAACAATAAGCTTTTTGGCCTCATGTTGTCCTTAGTAGATAAAAAGAGGATAGAACTACTAAGATATCATGAGTGGTTGTGAACGGGCTGACGGTCATTCACTTACCCAGATTTTTTTTCCAGTGGCAGATATGCCCAAATTTGGACATGAGGGGAAGTGACATGAGGGGAAGCTTCTCCTGTGAAGTTGTTTATGTTCTAGCCTCAGTGCTTCAAAAAGAGCATTCCTGCTGCCGGCAGGCATGCCAGACTCAGACTCGCTGAGCCACAGCAGCTCTAGTATTCTACAACAACACCTTACAAATGCCTGGCTACATCTCAAAATGGTCAGGAAATGGGATTTTATGAGCTAGATAAACACAAAGTATTACATAATTGCAAAGCAAGAAAGATATATACATATACATTGTTTTCCAACTTAAAAAAAGGTTGAAATGTTGAAAATCAAACTGTTGTTCCAGTTCTCTGATGAGAATTAAAACAGTCTACAACATCTTATATAAGGTTTTATTTACCTAATATAACTATTATTGATGAGAAATGTGATAATGTGTAACATTCGATAGAAAATATGTAGAAAACTGAGGAGCGCTAATATCCTGGAGAGAGTTCAGAACAAACATGACTCTGGATCACAACCCAACTTGTTTTATGTGTTGCTATACTGACATTCTTTAGTGTGCAGCATCTGCTTCTCACAATGTCTACATCTGTCTTAAAATAAACTTGTTTTGGGGCGCTGTGGTAGTGCAGAGATTAAGCACAACCCACATATGGAGGCCTCAGTCCTCGATGTGGCTGTTGCAGGTTCGATTCCCGGCCTGGTGGCCTTTGCCGCACGTCTTCCCCCTTCTCTCATTACCCCCTTTCCTGTCAATTCACTATCAAGGCTGATATATATAAATACATAAACTTGCTTTTAATTCAGTTTTTGTTTTCAACAACATCTAAAGGAAGCCACAGATTAAGATTTTAATGGGTGTGCAGGCAGCACTGATTAAATAGTATACCAACTATACCCACATTTGTCACTTTACAGAAGCATTTATGCTACAATTAATTTGTTATGAGATGTGATGCTGCAGGGTTTAGTATTAATGTGTTTCTGAAAGTGTGATGCACTCCAGGCCAAGTATGTAATGTCCCTACTGTGTCACCTCTACTCATCAACATCCTGTCTGCAGACACACTCTGTGGTTTGTGTTAATAACTGTTCTTACTTAGACTGCTTAAATAATGATAATGAAAAGGTACATATTACTATAATCAACAAACTGATTGAACTCATTGCTCAATCAGCAAAACCTACAGCCAGCTATGGTGTTGCTTTTAAACCAGAAACTGGTGTTTGACTGTAGCGTCACATGCAGAGCCACAGCTGCTCAGAGAAGAGTCTCTGCTTATGGACTTGGTGTGTGCTTGGCGGTGAAAAGTGACAAATATCAATCTTAAATTATCTCCTGGCTAACATTTCTGTGGTCTACCTCCTCCTTGGATCACTTCAGAAACCTCACAGCATCATTTATAATTCTGTATAAATATGTCATAGATTAGGCCCACTGGAAGAAAAAGAAAATTCAGACTTATTTTTCTCTGAATTCTGAGTTTAATCTTCCGGGATTAAAAGTCGTAATTCTTTTTTTTTCCAGTTTCCCTAATTTTCTTCTGTAAATAAAAGATTCTTTCTACATTGTTATTTTTTAATGCTTTCGGCATAAAAGTCACAGTATGTGAGCCTAAAATTTCCCATAACATAATGCAGAAGTGATAAAAGGAAGTTCAGTTTTTATGTATGTAACACAGCCTCCCTCCCCCCATTTAAATGTAAGTTTTACTCTTTCTTTTGATGATTACCAGTCACCAGCATGAATCTGGATATATAAAATAATGCATGTTTTCCCCTTGCAGCTATATAACTATTTGCTGTAAAGCATCTCAACAAAAGTTGATCAGATTACTGTTAAATTGAGAATGTTAAAGATATATTTTCTCAGCATTTAGCTTCAGTAACTTAAAGCTCAAAACACAGTAACATTAATACACAATTCTGACTGGCAGATAACTTATCCTTTCTACTAAGGCTATTTTTTCTACACCAATAAATAAAGAAGTCTGCATTATTTCTTTGAGTTGTTGTGAAAATGCTGCACGACACATTTTCAAATGACTCAGAATGCGCTTCAGTTATTTATATTCATGTTGCATCGCAGCAATGTTTGTGTGCTTTATATTAACACCTTCAGCTGGTGAGAATTAGGAAGTTAAATCAAAAATAACTCCATCTAGACACACTTCTGATGCAGCTCTTTATATTTAATCACTTACTAACCTTCACTCACGAAGGTTATTTCAGCTCCAGCTCTGGCCTTGTTGTAGAAACAAACATCAGTAAAGCTGACTAAGTGATAAAGTGCAGCGTTTCCAGAAAGCGTAATTTAAATTGACCTCAAAGACAAATAGGCACAAGAGTCAAGGTGGTGTTTAGCAGAATCCCCCCTCAACCCCCCACCAAAAAAGAAAAAAAAAACTAGGACAGAGGAAGGACTTTTAGGAAACACATAGGGAAGTTTAGTGAATGGATCAGCTATTTAAAAATGACTTCCTTTAAACTTTCCTGAACATAAAAGCCTGGAAAACTGAGAGCTTTTAGACATGTTGGTTTGAGATAAAACATTTTCTTAAAGAGGCAGTACTATGTGTTTTCCAGGCACATATAGTGCCATTTTTAGCACAATCAAGTAACTATTACCTTCAGTTGTAAAAATGCTGTAAATATCAAATATTTAACTAAAAGAAATGTAACCTCGTAATTTAATGCGTTAAAATTGGGCACCTGTCTTTTTTTTTTTTTAAATCCGCCTTCAGGAAGTAATCACAACAAGGCTCCTCTATTAACCCTTTAACAACGTTTTTACCAGCGTTGCACTGAGAAATAGGTCCTGTGACAAGTTCAGCACATATGCAGCTTCACTATGTGTTTGCTAATTGCTGCTTTCTAGTCTGAAGGAGCTGAGTGAGGCAGAAACATGGAAACAACAGCTCAGAGGAGGAGCTGTGCCTCAAAGGCGGAGCTAGGTCCACCTAGGCATTTTGCGCAGCTGAATGGTTGCCATGGGAGATTAAAGGATTTTTCAAACATGCATGAAAGAATCAAAGTAACACTCTAATTATGTTGTTGATGAGGAAATCACATTATAACATTATGTTGATTTTATATAATCCTGCCCATCTTTTGAAAACGTGAATACAGTGGTGGTTTTTGATATGTGCTACATGGGAGCAGCAGCAGATAGGAGTGGGGAACTCAAGAACTAGAAAAAAAAAATCTTATATGTCACTTATCCCCTGAACAAGTTTTCTACTACTTGTGTAGTGAAGTAAGTTTCCTCTAGTTGCTGTAGAGTACTGGGTGTCTACATTACTTTATTTCTGCTTCAAAATACAAACAAATAATTGCTTGCATTTTAATTGGTTGGACAGCAGGAGTAGGAGGGGCTTGCCCAGGTCACCAATCCTGCAAGAAAATGTGTGCAGATTTATTTTTAAAACTTATGAATTTAGGCATGTTAATTAATTGTGATTAACCACAGCAGTAGAGTGTGATTACTCTGATTTTGTTTTTATTCGATTGCCACCACTATTACATCAACAAATTATGTAGTTTATGGTTTGAATTTGAACCCACTGCTGATGAAATGAGCCCCCAGTTCTTTAGAAACAGTGAAATGGCTTATCTTAGAAGCTCCTCAACTTCAGAGTCACCCAGCTGTTTTAATACACAGCCATATCTTCTTACAATGCTAACAGAGTGGAGATGAGTATTCTGCAAAGAAGCAAAAGTAAACTTGTTGGGGCGCGACTAATGGAGTTTCTTTTTGGACCCACCAGGCAATGCTGACCTAGTCTGTAACCATATCATCCATTTCAAGCCACCACTGATTGCACTATTTAAAAAGTTCATCAATGGTTTACTTTCATTGTATTAGTATGAGTCAGCATTCATCAGTGTCAGGACACTATTCAAATATTTCTTTCACATGACAAAAACGTTTTCCACAATCTGGAAAGACAGAAAATAAAAGGACTAACGTGATTTAATCTACTTTCTTTTCCATTCAGGATGACGGACAACTTGTTTTGATTGCATTAGTAGACCAGTCAGACCGAGATAAATATAGTTATGCATATTCCCCCTCTGCTGACAGTACCGGGATTTCCCAAAATGCGTAATCCAGCCGGTCAAACACAACCTCCAATTCCACTTTCAATTTCAGCTTCTTAATGCGAAACGCCACGGTGGGAAATTACAGAAGTTTCTGTCTTTGCGCCTCCCCCTGTATCTTGTGAGTCCGAAGCTTTTTAATTTCACTTCAACGCCGCAGTCGGGCATTTTTCCACCTCGGGACGTTTTTCTGCGACCAGAGCTCGACTTCTTTTGAAACGCAAGAGACAAAATGTTTTCCTGCCTCTTTCTGCTGATTTCTTTCCTGAATATTCTGCGGTGCTTCCATGTGTCCGCCTGCGGTGAGTTTCGGGTCCTCCGCTCCGGGATCGGTACAGAGTGGAAAGGTTCAAGATAGCCATTTCTTCAGGCAGGCCAGTCAACTGACACGGTGTTTTCTCCTGTGGGAAGGATCGTTTTAAACTTCACATTTAGTTAATACCAGTCCGTAAACAGAGTCCGTAGATGCGATCATTTATCTAACTGGGTCAGGATCCCGTTATTCCTGCTGTTAGATTGTAATGTCTTGCGTGTTTGTCGCATTATTATTGTTAGTGTGTTTCGGATGTGTTTGCTGAATAACTTTTATGTATGTTTGAATTTAAAGAGCTATTTCTAAAATTGCATCGATCACCTAAGATAATATAACTGAATTTCGCTTTGTGTAAAATAACAACAGAAAAGTCAAACTACTGAGAAAATGATTATTGACAGCTTTAATACAACCTTAACCTCGGAGTACAATTTATATTATTCAAGTTTTAGATTACAGTTAGAATCAGAGTCAGCTTCTCTGGCCATGTTTGTGGGCCTAAATAAGGAATTTGACTTTGGTCACATGCTTACAGACATGTAATTAGATATTAAGCCTAAATGGTAGACTAATGGATACATTTATAAATGTATGTATGCATGTTTGAGTGTGTATGTGTATATATGTCACATAATGTCACCTAACTAAAATAATAGTCTAAGTCTTTTTTTTCTTTTTCTTTTTTTTTTTTTTTTGCCAAGAGTGATTTTGGAACAAAACTCTAAATAAAAATCACTCCTGTCATCTAAAGATGATGAAGGCAGAAAAAAAAAAATCACTTTTGGCAAAAAATACCTTTCCAAAAGTAATTTTTTAGTAAAGTGTGGATACACTAATATTTAGTTAGCATTAAGGCACACATTCACCATGATAAGCTTCTGTAATGTCTCAAGATTTGCATTCAGTTTTACATTAAGTTTTCACAAAGATCTTGTGCAGACGATAGAAAAAGTCTGACTACTACACTTTATTTGGCTCTCTTCTTACCCTGATGTGCCATAATGCTGGAGAGTATTTAGTATTTCTTTGCTTATCTCAGCTCAAAGATTGCATCAGTCCAATCTTTTTACTTTTTAAAGGCTTTGTTGGCTCTAGTGGCCGGTCAGTCAGGAAAGTAGGTAATCAGAGAAGAGGAAGATAAGCGGCAAAGGTCATCAGACCAGCATCCGAACCTGCGACAGCCATGTTGAGGACTAAGGCCTCCTTATGTGGATTGTGCTTAACCTCTGGGCCACACCAGCACAAGAGTCCAATCTTTTTACTTTTTAAAGGCTTTGTTGGCTCTAGTGGCCGGTCAGTCAGGAAAGTAGGTAATCAGAGAAGAGGAAGATAAGCGGCAAAGGTCATCAGACCAGCATCCGAACCTGCGACAGCCGTGTTGAGGACTAAGGCCTCCTTATGTGGGTTGTGCTTAACCTCTGGGCCACACCAGCACAAGAGTCCAATCTTTGTGCTCACTTGAAAATGCAATCTTGTTTTCTCCAGTTAGCCTCCCTGATTAGTGGCTTTCTTACGAAGCAGTTCTGTGGAAACCTTTTGAGTTCCCTTCACATTGTGCCTGTGGAAATACTTTTGCTTTGAAACACAACCCTGACTTCTGTTGTTTTCCTTAGATTTGATTTCACCAAATGTTTAAAGAGTTTGTTGATCATTATTGTTAAGTTGTTTTTTTTTCAGAGGTGATGGTTCTTCACTTTCCTTCTAGTTTTTAGTGAGGTGTTGGATTGTACTAGTAGTTCTGTGTCTCCTTTAGATGTTCTCTCTGTTTAATGCTTGCCAATGATCTGATGACTCTCAAACTAACATGTTTGTCATGATCAGCTGATACTTGTGAAACATGAACTCTGATTAACTTCCTATGATTAACAGAGTATGTACTGGAGTTGCATAACCAGACATCCTTAGAAAAAAACTGAAATATTGAAATGTGTTTAACTTTTCATGCGTCAGATTAGAGGCAGAACTAAGGATTTTATTTGATCTAACAGTCGTGTTTTGTACTGTGGTAAGAAGCCGTAGCATCCAACATGTGACTTGACGTTTCAAGGTGCAAAACTGCCAATTTACAGAATTTTTGAAATGAGGAAGGGGTGAAATGACCTACAACTGAATCTTTATCATCTTACTTTACGTAATTATGTTTTTTTCAAAAAATATTGCTTGTCCTTACTTTTTACAATATATTTAGATATATATAGCGTGAATTTGAGCTATAATGTTCAAGAACAGTAGTCCTTTTTCCACAAACAGAGCCACTTTATTTTTGATTTTGGTCTTTAGATACTACATAATTGGGCTGCATGATGTCAGGATTGTGATATTATTGCTTCCAACACTCATGAGGAGCCTTTAGTAACTTGAAGACTACTGTCTTTGTCTGATATGATCATCTGCTGCAGCGAGATGCTATCTTCATGTCATTGATAAATAAGATTCAATCTTTTTATTTTCTGAAGTGCAAAAATGATCTTGTGCTAGAGTAATAAACTGATTCAGGTCACAGGTACCAAATAAAAGAGTAACAACTGATGAAAAGGTAATTTGCTGCCATGAGCGACACCAACATCAGACAACCTGAAAACATTAATAACCTGGAAGCGAAGCGTAGACTTCCTTTTAATCTGCTTAGAGATTATGACAAAATAAGTGGTGAACGAGAGCATATTTCATATTACCTTGTGTCAGTGAGGTAGATTAGATAAAATCTAAATGCTGTTAGGCAGAAGGAAGGAGCTTCTAGACAATATTTTTCATAGAAAAAAAATTCAGGTGAGACGTTTCATCCAGCATTTCCAAGACCAGATCAACAGGACTGATTGTGTCTGGGTTGAATAAAGTTAAACATAAAAATAATACACCAGTTAGTAGCACTATCTAAACACTAAAATGGTGATTAAAAAATCTCTAAGTTCCTAAGAACCTTATCCTATGTAATTTGTATATTTACAAAGGCTAATGGTATTGCGTTTTGACTTCTGAGAAGACTCAAATGTAATGATATTATTATCCATGTTTCTTACAGATTACAGCTGTTCAGATAAACCTGTGATAACTCCATCCAGACTGGTGGTGAAGTTCGGTGATCCAGCCTCTGCTACATGTGTAGCCTGTCAGCAGGCCTGTCTTCCCCTGGATGACAGTGTTATTAGTATGGAAGCTTCTCTTGGAACTCCTGACATAAATGGAACCAAAGTGACCTGGACAGTGGACCGAATGACTGAGTGGGAATTAACTCCAAAGTGCTACTATACTGACTCGACAAATCATCAGTGTTGCACTAGCCTGTCTGTTACTGTCTACAGTAAGTTAATTAATGTTGCCAAACATTTTAGAGAGTTATCTTTATCCATTGTTGTTACCATTGAAGTTTTTTATGTCTTGCATTTTCAACATGAATGTTGTTGCTTGATGTTATTAATCGTTACTATTATTTCTATTTTTATTCTCTTCTCCTCTCCAGAACCTCCAGAAACTGTGTCCTTCAGCTTAAACCCCTCTGAACCTCTGACTGAGGGTTCAAAGGTCACCCTACAGTGTGATGTACTGAATGTCGCTCCTGTTGCAAACCTCACTGTGACCTTTTACAGAGGTCAGACGCCTCTGGATCAAGTGAAAAGCAACGATATTACAGAGAAACCAGTTAGTGAGACATTTTCTTTGAGCTACAACACCAGAAAAGAAGATGATGGAGTTCAGTTCTGGTGTGAAGCGAAGCTGGAACTGGGAGCTGAAGGACCACAGCCCCCTCTAGTGGTGAAGTCAGAGGAGGTCAATGCTACAGTTTATTGTAAGTTCAGAGACACACACATACTGTATAAATTAGATGACTGAAAAGTTCATTTAAAGTTAATGAAACATTATTTAGATTGATTACAGACAGACTGATGTTTTCAAACCTTTATTATTGTTAATTATGATTATTCTTCACTTGCATCTAATGAAAACACAACATTTAAGATTAGAATACTGCATCAGTCCATCGGAGAGTAATTTTTAATAGATGTCAGCTTAAAAACTAATTTTAATACTTCCTTTTGTTATTTTGAAAAGGTAGTTTTAATCTGAAAACAAGCCTAGTTAAAACCTGTGTTAGTTAAATATGACTGCACATTCTCCTTTGTCTTCCCTCTCATTTCAGAGAAACGACCATAAATAACTGTTTTTCAATACTTAACTATTTTTTAAATGCAGAAATTCACTAATAATGTTACACTACAGAAACTTTAAAATCTTTTCAAACTCATTTTCACAGTTAAACCAATAATAGTGAATTATTGTTATTTGGGTGTCATTTAATTTAAAAAAATCATGTGAGTTATTTGCATAAAAATAGAATATAGATAAGCTCCTTGTTGATACTATCAACTTTACAGGCTATAAATGAGATCAGTGTCAGCTGCTCTGATGCTCTATGATGGTTGAGTTTAGAATACAGTTGTTTTTGGAAATGGACATTTAATACCAAATAACTTCTCTTCTTGGTTATTCCTACACAGAATGTAACTTTTGTATGTTAATGACAAAAAGGTTAACCTTTTATGACATTTCATTTGTCTTAGAGGGCAAGAGATTTGTTGTTGTTGTTCCCATGCAGGTAGACCTTTTTGAGAAAATTCCTACTGTTCTGGTCTCTGTCTGCTCTTAATCAACAACAGAGCAAATAAAAATTAATTGTAAAAATTAGCCTCATAAATATGTACTTAGTATTTTTAATGGTAACTGATCAAAAATCAGACGTTGCTACTGGTGAAACAGGCAAAGAAGACGACAGAAAGTAAAAGGAGGATTGTGTCTCTTAATGGCTTGTTGTGTAAACTAACATTCACAAGGGTTTTAATTGGGTTTCTTATTTAATTAAAACACCACAATTGCAAAATTGTGGCTTTTCCCCCCAACATTAGTAAGATATCGTCGTTTTGTGCACATTTGTAATGGGAAACTAAGCTTACATTGTGTTCAAAAAATACATTACAGCTTCAGTGCATATGGAGCGAACATTCCATACGCTTATAAGTAAGATTTATTTAAAGATGTCCCTTGAAATGTGTAACATTGAGTGGAAGCATTTGTCCAGCAGTAAATCTAGGTGTTTTTCTGTGCATTGGTATTTTTTCTCATGTGTTCTGTTGTGTTTGAATTATTCCATTTTGTTTCCCTCTTTGCTGTAAAAACACAGATGGACCTCAGCTGAAGGTTCCAGCTGATCCAGCTCCAATCAGCATCACCAGAGGAGAACCTCTCCATTTGACCTGCTTGGCTGAAGGAAACCCCAAACCTCAGTACAGCTGGACGCTGCCGTCCAACAAAGGCCACCGCAGTGGGACCGATCTGAAAATCGACTCAGATGATGTTCAGGATGGAGGGCAATATGTCTGCACCGTCAGCAACAACGTGAACTCTGTCATTGTTACATTTAACGTAACAGTCCAAGGTGAGTTTCCTCAGGATTAGTTTCTAAAGTTTTTAACATTTCAGAGAAATGAGCCACAGTACTTCTTCCAGTAATATTATTTAGCTTTAACTCACATCACCCCAAGAAGGAAGTTCAACTGTTTGGGTATATTGAATAATTTCTGTTCCCCTTTTCTCTACTTTTCTGCAGAAAACTTCATTCCGTACATAATAGTTGGTGTAGTAATTGCTGCGGTTGTGATATTGATCGGAGCAGGAGTCATCTACAGTTTTTATTACAAACAGAACAAGATGGGAAAGTACCAACTAAAGGACGTTTTCCGTTTGGGTGCAATGCATCCCACCACAGTTCCTCTTTGTTAGTAAAATCAAATCCCTGGAAGGACAATGGCAGGTTGAAGATTTGCTGCAGTCCTCCGATCTGAGTCAGGTTGGTGTTGCTGCAGATTCTCCCTTTTCCCATCACGGACATGAAATACGTTTCACTTTTTGAATGGAAGTATTTGAGTATTTGCTTCCTCCTAGGTGGTTTCAGTGTTGTCAGAAAGTTACAGGAACTCTTTGTAACTTTCTGACAAAAGTTACAGAAAGTTACTTTCTGTAACTTTCTGAAACATGTAATCTGAGGGTTACATGTTTTACTCTCAGGCTGCCATGGATTACAGTTATTTCCTCTTGACTATTTGTAGTTTGATGGATTCTTCATGATGAAGGTAAAGGGACACAGTGATTGCCAAAACTGTCAATCCAATGTGAAAGCTCATAGGAAATGGTTTATACTTTGAACTAAGCTCTCATGCCTGATGTGAACTTGTTCTAATCATTATTATTTTTTTTTTTACAAATACATAGCTTATGATGTTATTCACCACTTCGCTTATTTATTTAGTGTTTCATTGCCTACCATTTGCGAGCTGTCCTACTACATCTGTTCCTTTATGCTATGCTAAAATGTACTTAAATTTGATTGAACTCTTAAAAAGTTGTTCTCATTTACATACTTTAATGAGTTAGTCGTCAGAAAGGAACTTTTCTCATCAAGAATACTTTTTTTTGTTGTTGTTTTTTCTTTGCTGTGACCACTATAATGCACTACAGGACTGTTGTTATGCTTTGATTAAATCAGCTGACAAAATGCCACAGATCAACTTTGTGCATTTATTTATGGCCATATTTAACTCTATGATGGTGCAAGAGCAACGCTGGAAGTGACTAAATACATCCGCTGGGAATTTATCTCCCCGTCTCTGCTGAATTTACACATTCTCACTTCTTGTCTGCTTCTCATTCAGAGGTCCTCATATCTGTTCCAGATATGACGATGTTTCAATAAAAATGTTGCAATAAAAATGGTAATGATAACATGCTAAACTCACAGCGCCATATAGTGGCGTGGTGTGACAACTACAGCTGACTAGGTATCTCGGCGGTGTGGAACTTTTTCCCAATCAATGTCCAAACATAACGGAAGAATCCAGGCAGCGGCCTCGTGTAAATGTAGTCTATGTTTAGTTCAGATGGTTAGGATATGAGTCTCAGCTCAGTTTTTGTCATGTGATACAAAAATAATCAAATTCAGAGTCCATAAACAGTTCATAAACTGTTTTATCTCTGAATAGTGAAAATTTTGCCTCCTGCTGTGTATTTGAAACAGTTTATGATGCTGATGCTTTTGTGACCATTCTGATTACTGTTCTGTTAAAAAAAGTGTATTTATATCTGAATTATTGTTATTTGACTTGCAAGTAATTTGAGAGGGAGTGTGAAAAGGAGAGGGCTCATTTGATGAAGACCAACTTCTGTGTGTAAATCCTGATGGTGACCTTTAACCCTCTATTCACTTAAGCGATTTTCTGAATCTTTCAGAGGTTGCTGTCAATTGAAACGTTTATATGGATTTTCTTTTGCTTTTCATGTGAGAATAATGAATGACAAAATAGTGTTGTATTGAGCGGTTATGGTAACGCAGGGTTTTAAGTTAAAGTGAAGAGAAACTTACTTCCAGAGCTTTTAACAGCTTTACACTTTTTCATGGTGTATGTGTCTGTGCACGAATCTTTATAGCTTTATTTAGATGTGTGTAGTCAAAGTGTTCTCTGAACGTCAGTACCACTTGTGAAATCACTGACTGCCTGTATTTATAACTGTTTGTGAAAATAATACATAGGTCATGCAAATGACTGAAAAACATTTTGTGCAGGAAATGTAAGCTTTTCTTTGACTTTTGAAACTGTAAATAAAGTATCATTTTCTTAAAAAAACATGCTTCCTTTCTTTGGTTGTTCTTGGTATTTTGTTTAAAATTGTTTGGTTTAATTTAACAGGAAGTAAATGACTAATAGATGTGCTCATGCTTTACAATGAAAAGCATGAGGTACTTACTGTATTAGCAGAAATTATTACCAAAGTTCCTACGAATACCAGCCAGATAACTTCAGAAATTCTGGGGGGAATTTAATTGAAAGCAGAAGGTGGAGTGAGGGGAATTCATTCCCAGAAACACTTTTCTCCTCCCCTTCCTGTATTTTTACATTGTGCTAAGAAAGAATGCTGTGCTGGAATTAGGGTGAATGGGATGTGTGTGTGTGTGTGTGTGTGTGTGTGTGTGTGTGTGTGTGTGTGTGTGTGTGTACGTGTGGGCTGCTGTTCTGAATGACCGTGCTTCTTAAGCCCTCATCTTGTTAGCCACAGCTTAAATGAGGCTTGAACAGAAACTAATTCACATATCGGGCTTTGAATCAACACATTATCTCAGGTCCCTTTAAGCGAATCTATCATGCTTCTGTCCAAACACTGCTTTGTTGCTGCAGCACACTCAATACTTGAGAATCAAAGTGGAGTTGAGTCCCATTCTGCTAAATGGTGTGTGTCTCTATCAGTGGCCGATTGCCTCTCCTGTGGGTGGGTATCATGTTATGGGGGGTCATTATCATTGACATCAGTCCTTGACTTCTTTGAAGTCAAGAAGATTTGGGACATGGTTTAATGCTTGTAAAAATTGGTGTAAAAGTTAATTTAGGCCAACTTGGGTGTTCTCTTTCCATTATTTGTTTATTTTAAAGCTACACTTCCTGTTTGTGTCACTTGTAGCCAGAGTTGGGCAGTTACATTTACTCAGTTAAATTTACGCGAGTGACTTTTTTTTACAGAAAAAATTAATTTTTTGGATTAATTTTACAGCGCTGCAATTCTTACGTTCACTTGAATAACTTTATTATATCGCTACTCTTACTTGAGTAAAATTTCTGGATCCTTTACCCACTTTGAGTAAGTTCACTGAATGAAGAACTACCTTGTTTTAACCGGAAAGTCACCAGACAGACACACACCTGCAGTCTTTGTTAAAATGTTATCAGTTTTATTCTATCAGCTTCCTTAAAAAAAATAATAAAAAAAGTCACCACATCTATTCTTCCAAGATGATTTGGGTAAAATAAATAAATATATTAATAAATAAATAAAAAAATCACTTTTGCCAAAAAATGACTTAGGCCATTATTTTATGAAGGTTGTGACATTGAAAGAAATTGATTTAGATTTTTTTTTCTTTTGCCTTATTTTGTAGTTTTATTTGATATTTTGTTATTTAACATGTATCATTTTCATTTTGTTCTTTTAAGTACCAACACTTCAGGTTCACCTCAGGAACGGCACCATAAAGAAGCAATTTATTTTTCTGACAACAATCAAGGTATTACTGAAATTATTCTTTAAATAAGGCCAACTTATGATTACATTTACAAGGGAAGTGGAAAATTCCACTGTTGTATTCACCATATGATGGCAATGTGGTGAATTTTTCCAAGAGTCGCCAAACATCCTATCTGATGTGCAGGTTGACGACATTGATGACTTTGGAAGTCACATTCTCGATGGTAGCACCTGTTCTGCACCTCAAAATGTGACCACTCAGGAAATATGTGCAATGACTGTGTCCATCTACACACACATGCTTACCCCATTCCTATTAGACTTACCAATGAAGAAAAGAAGACTTAAGGAAACACACTGCCAGCATGTTTTTCTCCCATGGAAAGCACCGGACCCGACGGTCCAGGGCCCACTCCTCCAGAACTCAGTCCCATAGTGACCACACAGGCCACACATTTCTGAATGGAGTCAAGCAAGACTCCATGCTGGGTTACTGACGAGCTTCAAACACCTCCCTACCTGTTACATATTAGATGTAGATGCTCGTCACACGAACAACCACACAAAACCTTATTTCCTCCCTAACCACATGCTGGAAGACTTTGTGAACCAAGTCAAGAAAAATATAAACAAAGCAGAGCAGAAGGATTTAAATGTTTATATGGAGTAGGTGAAAAATCTGAGGTCTCCATTACCACTGCAGACAGATGAAGGGAACATCCAGTAACAGAGACATCTGAAAGAAACTCTCGCTATGAGGTTTTTCACTTATTTTTGAAGTGAAATTACACTTTTCTTAAAAAGAAAGTTGTGCCTGAATCTAGAAGTACAGAGTGCACACGATTTGTCACTAGTGAAAATTTTGTAGCAACAGCGTATCCAGTTCATTCTTCTTTTATGAGAGCACATCATGGCTAAGCACTTGTTACTGAATGAATTTTTTTTTTTAACAAAACACACAGTCGTGCAATTAGTTTATGTGAAAGTGTGTTTTAATGTAAACAGAAGCTTTGTTAAAACTGTATTTTTTTGTGTGTTATTTGGAGGTCAGGTGAAGAAAAATTGAAGTACTTTACTCTCCCTAGTCCCTACATTTATTGATAAAATTTTGCCACATCCATCACCTCTGTGTGTGCTGTTCGCCAGTCAGCTGAGCATCACAGTAAAGGAAACTGGAGCACAACCCAATAAAGATGTTGGTGATGATTAAAAGATTTAAGGACTGCAGTCTGTGACTCTACTTTGATAAAAGTAGCAAACTTTGAATGAAATGTTTAAGTCTTCTAATTTATGTTTTTGTTCTCTCTGTCATGTTGTGATGATGGTCTATGTTTGACCCAAACGCAGCAAGACAGAGACACAAACTAAATTTGAGTATTTAATGAAAAATTATGAAAAAGAACAACAAAACAAAACAAAAAAAACAACAAACTTACAACAATTACAGGGAACCAGGGCAGAAAACAAACCATAACACCAAGGAAAGTATCAGGAAAGTACCAAAAAGTACCAATGGAGAAATCCCATGGACTGGTGAAAGAACTTTGGACAAAGACTAAGGTGGGTAGACACAGCTGCCCTGTGAATGGACCAGAGTGGGAAAATAATATAGATAAAGAGAGTGACAGGAGCAAAGAGACATCGGGTAGCGAAAGGATGAGTCCAAAAAGAGGAACTTCTTCGACAACGGCAGGTGTAAGAAAGAGGGGAAAGGTGGCGACAAACTGGGATGAGTCTAAAGAAGAAATGGAGGGAGAGAGAAAGGAGATCAAAGTAATTATGAGAGGGACTACAAACGATCAATCCAGTTAAACTGTCCATAATTTTGAAGAATCAAGTTGGAGACATTACTGATGCAAAAGTTCTAAGAGATGGAAACTTAATGATTAGTTGTAATACAGGAGAACAAAAAGACAGAGCAAGTAGGATGAAAGAAGTAGGAAAGTATAAGGTGACAAGCGTGAGTCTTGTTCAAGAAGGGAGTAAATGGAAGAAGGAAGTGATTTGGGGAATCCCGCTTGAGGTTTCAATTGAGGAAATAAAATCAAATCTCAGAGGAGGAAGAGTTAAAGATGTAAGAAGACTTCAGACCTTGAAAAGTTGAGAGAAAATGAACAGCGGAAGAGTTTTGATAGGCTTTGATGAGGAAAGAGTTCCAGAGATAGTCTATTTAGGATATTTGACCTATAATGTAAGAGAAAATGTCCAAGAAAATTAGATGCTTTGAATGTCAAGGATATGGCCATACAGCGCAGACATAAAGGAAAAAGAAGATGTGAACAAGAGGATCATGATTATGAACAATGCAAGAGCAGGCAACCACAGTGTTGTAATTGTGGCGGCAGCCACAGTGTGGCGTAACGGGGCTGCGGAGTTAGGCACAATTGTATAGGCAAAACAACTCGTAAAGCGAATTTTTGGGGAATGATTAAGAAAATGAGGGAAAATAGACATGAGAGAAAATACCCAATTCTAAAACATGAAAAAAGAACAGCGGTAACAAATGGAGAAAGTAGAAGTAATGGCAAGAACATTTGCAAAGATCCATAGTTCAGATAATTTATCAGAGCAGGGGAAATTTAGGAGACGAAGTGAATGCTCACATTCACTTCAAGTTTGTCATCAGGACAAACTTTCTGTCCTTTATGGAAAATAACACTATCTGCACCACTAGACTCGGAGTTCTATCTTTTATGACTGTGCTGGATGTATTACATAAAGGAGCAGGAATAAGGAATGAGGATCCACCTCAGTGATTCGAAATAATTTAAAACAGAGAATTATATTTATTTAAAAATATATTATTGGTGATTCTGAATCTTAAGTTGGAACATAATTGCTATATTAGATTTATTTGATTTCATTTACATCCAAGTGGATAAGGATTAGATTTCGCCATACATCTAACCGAGGTGGCGTTATGCACCTTGAACTGTTATTGTTGTGGTCCACTTTAAAGAAGAAGAAGAAGAAGAAGAAGAAGAAGAAGACGATCCTCACGGTCGTTACTTTAAATGGGATTCCGTTGAACTGCTTTGATGTGTTCGCCCGATTTAACCGACTCCGTGCGCGCGCGCATAAGCGGATTATCTGTTATCTGTTTCTGCTCTATCTGTTCAGACGAACGTGCCTGTTTTACTGCGGTAGTGGTTTTGTGTTTCCGTCCCCCAGAGTTTATAGTCTGAAGCAGAAAGGTGGAAGATGAGCATCGACTACGGCGTCTGGGACCACATTTACGTCTCCG